TACTACTGCCCACTTTGAGGTCCACTCTGAATAGGGGTGGCAGGAATTACGACCCCTGGGGGGCCCACAGTGCTGCTCAGGGCCTTCCTGCTGACCCTCCTGTCCCCACAGAGAGCTCCAGCCCGGGATCAAGGCTGTGCAGGTGGTTCTGAGGTGAGTGGAGGGTGCTGCAGCGCTCCCCCACCCCATCCCCCATCCCCCAGCCAACACACACACAAAGGGTCCCCCTCACCCTCCAGCACCTGTGCTTCAGGCCCCGAATCTGGGGGTTCTCTGTGACCCTCGGCTCCTCCAGCATCAAGACCCCCATGACTCCGCCCGGCTCTGGCCATCTCTCAGCCTGGGCTCACTCTGCTTGCAGAATCTGCTACTCGGACACCAGCTGCCCTCAGGAGGACCAGTACCCGCCCAACATCGCCGTCAAGGTCAACCACAGCTACTGCTCTGTTCCCGTGAGTTCATGCCTCTGCCTCTCAGCCCAGGCCGGGAGCTGCCTCAGGGCGAGGGCAGTCGGGGGTTGGGGGGGGTGGGGCTCTACCACTCTGGACCTGGGTGCTGCTGCCCACGAGGTGGGTGTGCTGCTGGGTGGGGTGGCCAGCCAGCCTGTGTGCTGAGTCAGTGGTTGTCTGACCCCAGGGCTACTACCCCTCCAACAAGCCGGGCGTCGAGCCCAAGCGGCCCTGCCGGCCCATCAACCTCACCCACCTCATGTACCTGTCCTCCGCCACCAACCGCATCACTGTCACCTGGGGCAACTACGGCAAGGTGAGCCTGTCCTCTCCTCCTCCCCTCACGCTGCCTGCCCTGAGCTCTGCCTCCCTCTCACCACCACCCCGATCCACCCCAGAGCTACTCCGTGGCGCTGTACCTGGTGCGGCAGCTGACCTCCTCGGAGCTGCTGCAGAGGTTGAAAACCATCGGGGTCAAGCACCCAGAGCTGTGCAAGGCATTGGGTGAGAGCGCACGCCCCCTGGGCTCGGGGAGGGAGGCGGGCAGACGGGATGAATCAGTGCCCTGGCTGGGACTGGGGTCTTGCTCTAAGGGCCCTGAGCAGCCCCAAAGGGCTGAAAGTGCAAGGTGAGGGCAGGGTCTGTGGCCAGTGGGTGGGCCTCTGGACAGGAGGGTGCTGTCTGTGTGCCAACAGGGTTGCTGTCTGTGGGTGGGCACCATCTCTGTAGGCAGGAGGCCAACTTCCTGTGGCCCAGGGCAACCACAGGACCTGCCTTACTTTGCCAATAAAGAACACGACACAGACAGGTGGAGGGGGGTGAGGGGGAGTGGCGCGGTGTATAGCCTGTGTCCCCCCGACCCCACACCCACCTCTGACAGCACCCGGCCCTTTCCACAGTCAAAGAGAAGCTGCGCCTGGACCCTGACAGCGAGATCGCCACCACAGGCGTGCGCGTTTCCCTCATCTGTCCGGTGAGCCTGTGCCCCTCCCCTTCCCTGTCCCCCATGCTGGATGGTGTCCTGGCTCCCTGCGTGTGTCTGTGTGCCCCAGCTGGTGAAGATGTGGCTGTTGGTGCCCTACTTCCCGGTTCCTCTGAGGGCAGGGACTAGAGGTGGCTCACCGTGTGTGTGTCCCTGGGCAGCATCCTCACTCACTGTGTGCCCACCCCCCAGCTGGTGAAGATGCGGCTGTCGGTGCCCTGCCGAGCAGAGACCTGCGCCCACCTGCAGTGCTTCGACGCCGTCTTCTACCTGCAGATGAACGAAAAGAAGCCCACCTGGATGTGCCCTGTGTGTGACAAACCTGCTGCCTACGACCAGCTCATCATCGACGGGTGAGTCCCAGGTGCCCACCTATTTCTGCGACCCTTCTGCGACAGCATCCTGGGGTCCCCTCCTGTCCCGACCTTCTGAAGCCAGGTGCACTTGTTCCTGCCTGCGTGCACCCAGACGCTGCCACAGGCAGGGCACGCGGACCAGCTGAGCTAACTGGGGACGTACAGGCGGGGCGGTGTCCCAGGTGGGGAATCATCCTGCGTTAGCAGCCACTCTCCCACGGGGCCTGCACGGTGGCCTGACGTGGGTTCTGTTGCTGTTCCCTCTGAGTCTCTGGGCTGACCTGGGAAAGCAGGGTCTGTGAGCACCCCAGACTTGGGACCCATCTCTGCAAGCAGACTGAGTTCCCTAGCCCCGTTCTTGGTTACCAGCAGGCTGTCCAGGTCATCCCCCAAAGCAGCTGGCAGGGGCCTGGCCAACCTGGACGAAAGAAGCCCTCTGGGCCCCACAGGGACACTGCCCTCAGGTTTTAGGTGTCCAGAAACCAGACTCAGGTGTCCAGAGCACCTGACCCGGCTCTCACCTGGTCTCTCCATCCCCACCCGCCATCCCACCCTGGGCAGCAGCGGGCACACTCCTGACCACGGTGAGGGTTCTAGGTCCCTGTCCTTGGTCCTCAGGGGACCTAGATTGCAGGCACAGGGTGGGAGCAGAGCAGCCCTTGCAGAGCAGCGCCCCCACATCCCAGCCTGCTCTGCCTGGCCTGCAGGCTCTCACCAAGCCCCCCCTCCCCACTGCCTTGGACAGGGAGACAAGCTCCCCACTCATAGGCACTGGACCCAGAGTGGCCAGCCCTAAGCCTGGGTCCCCTCCCCGGATGAGCCAGCCACCACCCCTCACTGCCCAGCCTGGGGTGGTGTGAGGAGGCCCTTGAGGCCCGGCCCTTGGGATGAGCCTGAATGGCCACTCTGTTCCCAGCCCGGCAGCTGTGTGTCCCCTCCCCCACCCAGGCCTGCAGCGGGCACCCGGCTTGGGGTGGCAGCTGCCCTGATGCCCGAGGGGCTGGGAGCCAGGCCCCACACAGCCCAGGAGGCCAGGGAGGCTCCCTGGAGGCATCATCTGGCCTCCCCCTCAGCCCCTGGGGAAGGTGGGGGGCAGGCTTTAGAGCCTGAGCAGGGCTTCCTGCTGCTTGGGCTCAGGACTGACGGAGGTCACTGCAGGCAGGGGTGACCCTGAGGGGTGGGGGCAGTGCCCTGGGGAACCCTTGTTGCGATAGGGTGGCACTGTGACCAGAAATGTCAGAACCCAGGGGTGGGCCTGCCCTGGAGAGCCAGGGTGGTGGTGGGGGTTATCTCTGGCCTGAGTCAGGCCAGTTACCTGGCAGAAGTGGTGGGGCTGGGACAGAAAGCCCGTCTCAGTGGGGAACCTGACCTAGCACTTGGTCACTACTAGGCTGCTCCCCTCTTCCCTGGGCCTCTGTGTCCCTGACCCCATGGCACTGACAAGCCTGGGCACCATGTGGGGCCGGCCCACTGGACACAGGTGGACAAGGCCCCACAGAGAGTGTGGTGATGCCCCACCCACTGCGTCTCTTCACTGGGTGTAGTGCGCCCAGATGCGGTGGTCACAGGATTCTGAGCCCCACTGGTCACAAGCTGACCGTGACCTTGAGCAAAGTCATCTCAGACGTCTGTGCTCTGTGTGCAGAAGCTGAGACAGTGGTGGAGGGGCAGGTCTAGAGCCGCCCAGTCTGCCGCTGCCGCTGCTATGTTTGCAGGATGGGTCTGCGGCCTTGGGGTTCCATGGATGGCGCCGCCTTGCCCTACAGGACC